ACCAAATGCAGACTGCTAAGTACATTAATTAACTGTCTCATCGATGTTTGTCTGAATTAATATGATACTATTAACAATCATATTATTCCTATCAGCTGTCAATCACTGTTAATAAATAAATAATAATAATAATAGATTTAATTTGTTAGCGCTTTTACAGGTGCTCAAAGACGCTTTACAGATATAGTGAAGAACTGTTATGATTCACATATTCATTTATTATTGAATAAACTATATTTTTTGGAGGAGTTAATGATGAATGTTCATCAAGATGCTTGCTCACCCTCCTTCAAATTTGAAAAACAAGTAATTATATCATTATTGATATACAGTTACAACTTTGACTTTACATCAGAAAGAACACACATTAAAGAAGTGACTAACTGCATCAGTTAGGGTTAAAAAACGTGTATTCAGCTAAAACATCGCTGCAGTTATTATCCAGTGGAAGGTCCTTACCTACTGACCTAGTTAAATCAAAGTGGTTACTTTCTGTTGGCTGGGCAGTGTAGTTTTACACACCGTCTTATTTTACTTTCTCAGGACTTAAAACTGTTTTTTGGGGGCAGACCCCCTCAAAGAAAAAAATATATACACGCATACAAGGTGATCATCTTAACAGTTTGTTATTCTCATCGAGTCATCCGTGAGCAGAGCATCAAGTTGGCATGTCTATTACAGCTGAATGCGGCGATTACTATTTTGTTCAGCAAAACGCCTCACAAACTTATTAAGATCAACAGCTGTAGTGCGTTTTGATTCAATGCTGAGTACAGCCAAACTTGACATTCTCTTCTCTGTCATTGTAGACCGCAACTACCTCATTCCTTCAGTGCTTGGGTCCGAAAGGCTTCTCGTTTTGCGCCGTCCCCCCGTTCAAGTGAATTCGCCACCAATCTTATTTCCACTCTCGCGCCAGGACCGGGGGAGCGGTTACATGACGTGCATATTGTGCTGCATTCACTTGTACTCGGACATTAGAGACTTTCTCTCATAAATGTCCGATGAGCCACAACTTTTCTTTCAAAACAAAGATGCCAACTGGGGTGGCAGCTGGGGTGGCAAGGCTATTGTTTAGGGTGGCAGTTGCCACCCCATGCCACCCCGGTAGATCCGCCCTGCAAGCGGTAGACCTACACTGTAAAATATTACCATGATTTCACAATATTTAGCTGTAATATTTTACAATAAATTACTGTTTTACCACTTTACAGTCTTTACCTGTAATGTTCACAATATAACACTGTAATTTAGAATGTCACAGTGAAATCAATACAGGCACAGTTAATTACTGTGAATGTACAGGATAAATGATTACCAAGATTTCACAACATGTTACTGTATTATTTCATAGTAAAATACTGTATTCAGACCATCCTCTGTGATAACACAACACATTAAGTGATTTTCTTGCTTTTATCGCTCTTGCTTGGCTTTAAATACTAATTTCTTTCTTTGGTGCAGGTTTTACTTAAATTGAAAGGGGCACCGCTGCATGTGCCTTCAAATAAATGAGGCAACATATACATATGTAAAATTGAAATTGTTGTCTTGGCTTATTGTTTTCAGGTGCTTCCTGGGCATTAAACCTGAAATGGGCTCGAAAGCCAAAAAAAGGCATGTCAATTTAAACCCTCATGTCAGCACATTCTTCAGAAAACGTGTTGACTTTGAGTGGATGTCGGTGTAGACATGTGCTCCCCTCCTTGTTTTCTGTCTCCCTGGCTCCGCCTCTGACCAGGTGCACCTGGTCTGCCCCTAGCTCCGCCTCTGCCCAGGTGCACCTGGTCTGCCCCTGGCTCCGCCTCTGCCCAGGTGTTCCAAATTCCACTCAGCCGTGTCTATATATAAAGAGAAGCTGGAGGAGAAGGATGTCTCGCCTATCCTAACGCCGGAGACACTGTCCTTAGAATACCTCTTTGCCATTTTGAGCTGTAGGCCATATTTTTGCAGATGTGTTTATGTTTAGCCTGGAGGACCTGGTAGTCCAGTTTTCTCTACTTTATTTTGTTTCCCACAGGGTTTATATTTGATTTCTGGTTAGGCGGGGGAGCTCTGGGTCCTACGGCCCGTGGTGTGGCTGGCTCGGGTTCCCTCCTTCTGTTTATTCCTTTTGGCCACTCCTCCAGACCTCTTTTTGTTTCCCGTTTCGCTTGTGTGAGCAAACGGCTGATTATCAATAAATGCTCGTTACCAAGTACCGGTTACTGCGTGTATTCTTTCATGTTGCGGGTCTCAGCACGAGCCACTACCGCGGAGTAGAGGTTGGGGCCGTAACAACATTTCCAAGACACTGTGAAATTACTTTGCACTTCAATGGAGTAATAAAAAGTTTAAATGGGCATTTTCTTTGTTTTTCTTTGTTGATTGAGCTGATTGAATTGTGTAGTTATGGTACAATCCCAGTCAAATTTACAATATATTATCGTATTATTTAGATTTGTATATTTACAGTAAATTACTGGCTACTGTGTTGCATTACTTCTACAGTAATAGTGTGAACATACAGGTAATTACTGTAATTTATGTACAGCAAGGTACCATAATACCACAGCTCTGTACTGCTATATCACAGTAATTACATGGGCATGGCAACTGTAAAGTCACAGTATTTAGTTGTACTTTTATTCTAATTAACTGTAAAATATATACAGTAAATTACTGTGAAATATTTACAGTCAATTACTGTGAAATATTGACAGTAAATTACTGTGAAATCCCTGCAACTAGTAGCCAGTAATTTACTGTAATTTTACAGCCAAACATTTTACAGTGTAGGACCAGGTGGAGGGATTATATCTCTTCGCTGGCCTGAGAGCGCCTTGGTCAGCCCCAGTCAGAGCTGGTTGATGTGGCCAGGGAAAGGAAAGTTTGGGGCTCTCTGCTGGAACTGCTACCCCGCGACCCGACCACGGATAAGCGGGAGAAGATGGATGGATGGATGGATGGATCATTCCAATAACTTGTATATAGACGTATAGCACTATTCCACTTTTTTTTTCTCACTTTTTTAAAAACTATTTTTCTTTTTGTATTACTTTTAATATAGTATATTTTAATATTGTCTGCTTATCTGTATTATTAATAATAAAAATAATAAAAATAGATTCAATTTGTTAGCGCTTTTTCAGGTTTATTTGACTTTAACTTTAACTATATATTTATTTGTTGTTCCTTTATTTTATTTTATTTTCTCTTCACTATATATGTAAAGCGTCTTTGAGCACCTGTATTATTGTGTTGCATTGTTGGAGAAGCCTGTGACCTAAGATTTTCAATGACATAATCACTCTGTAGTGTTAGTTTGACAATAAAGAACCTTGAACCTTGAAATAATACAATCAACGTATCTGAAAATTGTAGGCTAATGGTTAAATACAGTAATCACTACAGCATAATCAATGTTTTGATTGTTAATCAATACATTTGAGACCCTTAAAACCTTTGTGTCTTTGGTTCAAAACTCCTCACTGATTTAACAAAGGAGACAGGGCAGGTTTAGTTTCTCAGTATTTAATTGACGCTCTTCTCCTAACCCTAAGGTTCTAATCCAAACAAATCTTTAATATTTAAAAGCCATTTCTTTGACACAGGGTGGAAACAAAAGATACAGCAGGGTGTATTTTGTCTTCATACTGTATGTATATCTCACAGGGTCAGTTAAATTACTGTAACCACAGTGCTAACTACTGTTACTACTCTTAAGAAGCTTTTTGTGATAAAAGCAGAGTCACTTGATACGTGACTGACAGATTCCCCGAGTGAAAATGGTCGGCCTTTTTTATTTACATTCACTGCTTAAGGCTCAATGTCAGTAGCCGAGGTTATTCTGCTGCATTAGCAGAATAGGAAGAGTGTCTGCCAGCTCTTCAGCTTTCATTAAAAGTAAACCTTTTAAGCCAAGAGCTGCTGCCTGCCCAGACCCCCCTGACAATAATGTAGTAACTGTTCGCCCGCCAAACTATCAAACTATTTTATATTCCACACCTGCTAGGCATTACACACAGTGGTCCAACCTGGCCATGCAAACACAACAGAACAGCCTTTGTTGGGGCCTCAGGACCATTAGGCAGGGTGGGTACAGCTCAAAAGTGTTCAAGAAACAATTTATCAGAAGGAGATAGACACACTACAGGGCTTTGTGCTCCCTGTGACACCATGCTCTAACGGCAGGCATTTCCTGCCCTGAGAAGGCAGGTTTTACAACATTTAGGGAGAGGTATTTTAATTGGAACCACAGCCTGACAGTGGCCTCAATGGAGAAACATGGAAAATCTGCAGCGAGGGAGGCTGACACTGATATATCATAAAGCCCAAAGAGGGTGGGCTCCATTTATAAAGTCATTTATTACAACTGTTTCAAATGTGTTGTGTTGTTTATCGTGTTAATGTGTTCATCCATTAAGTTCATTAATGAGTATTTTATTTTAAGCATATGTACAATGTCTGTTTCATGTAAGGACAACACAGTAGGATTCCCATTAGGTTTTTTTTCTTGACAATTTCTGCCGACTGGTTAGACATCAAAGACAGATGTGATGAATGGCATGATTCCCAATTATTTGGCACAGCTACAGCCGGCAATAACTCACACATTCTGCTATACAAACACACATTCATGTTAATCTGTCCCCGTTTCCTTTATATTTGAACATTTTGTGGTGATTTGGACTTTCAAACCATCAGTACAGATTACTAAGACATTTAATAAACACCCACAATTCATCTTATCCTTCAAAACTACAAAACAGATTTAAGATAGCATTAGCATATGTTGATGTTAATTACTGAGCTTAAACTGTGTAGTCTCCATACATATTAACATGTTTTTCTTTAAAATATTATTTGAGTATATTGATTCTGACATACTGTATATATGTAGTTGTCAAACATGGAGAAAAACAGCATTACAACAGGGGACGTCATTTGCTATGGAGTTACATGAAAAAAAAATGTTTGTTCACTTTATCTGTAACCTGTTAAACCCCTCTTGTCTACAGCTGTGGGAGACCGTACATCAGACTGAGCCATGGGGAGGGGTCTTTAGACAAGGGAGACAGGATACCACGGTCAGGTATGCTCTTCTTCCTTACTATTTCTACCACCACCTCCAAGCTGCTTAGAGAGTGTTTGTTGGCATACGTACTACGACACAGTGTATTTTACTTTTTTTGTGTATATATAAAGACAGAGCGGAAATGGTGCAGAGACAGAAAAAGGGGAGGGGAATTATATACAACAAAGGTCCCTACAAAATAATTGTAGAGTTGTTGTAACTCCCTCTTTCTGTGCCAGTTACAATGTGCTGTACATAATACATATAAGAGATATTGAAAACAGCAAAAATACAAATTATTTCTACAAACAAACAAATGTCTGTCTTAATTAATAACTTCTGTATTAGTAGTGGTGTGACAGGATAAGTACAAGCTATGTAACCAATTTATATTATGTCTTTATATATTTATATTATGATCATTTTCTTTATTCAAATTAATTAATTTCAAGATAATTATAATTTTGTATTTTAACATCAGATTTCGGTTTGAGTCACTTAAAATGTCACATTCAATATTATATTATGTGCATTAGTATTCAACAACCAATACATTTTAAGATCCACCATTGTAAATTCATAAATACCAGTCTTTCTGATGATACATACTCAGACCACTGTATAAAGCACTGTTGCCAGCAGATACTCTGTTACACATGCTTTGAGTTAGAGGCCTGCAATCACTGAAATGCATCATTGATAATGAATAGGAGCCCTCACCATCTCTCAGACTTGCAGAAAACATATAGAACAAAGGGGGATAAGAGGAAGTGGATATACCAGAGAATTAAATTAAACACCCTTAAAAGACTGATGTTGTGTATCAGTATATCTGTTTTCCCTTGGGCCACAGTGTGACATCTCTTTGTTGTTTCTCTTTCTCTAGCAGAGGACCCAATGGTGGCGTCATCAGACTATGACAGCACCCACGAAGCCAACCACAGTGACAGCAGTGATGTAGCACACACAGAGGAGGACACAGAAGAAGGAAAAAATCCTGCGCAAAACGTCATCCTCCTCCCACTAATACCTCCAGAGGTGAGGCCAGGCTAAATGACTGCTCATACAATATAACTCTGCTAATGAAACACGAGAAAGATAAAACGTATTATCATTGAATTCATTTGTCTTACTGCTTTTCATCTTGTGGCCCAGGACAAACCAATTCTGGCTCCAGAACCATTAGTAATGGAGGACTTGGAGCCATTGATGAGTCAGCTAAATAATTGGAACTTCCCCATCTTCACGTTGATGGAGAAGACCAACGGGAAATGTGGACGGATCCTCAGTCAGGTGAGCACATCTAAGAGCGACAACGATAAAGCTCAGAGGTCCGCCAGAGTGTCAATAAAACAGTTTAATATTTGCATAATGATGATGATAGCTTGAAAGTAATAAAAAGTGAGGAGATACAAAGTGACTTTTTTGCATTCATAAATGAATAGACTTGTTATGCACAGCACCAACATTTTAATATTTACTGATTGCAATTTCCTCCTTTCTTTCCTTTTTGTGTATGATTTTACCCCTTATAAATGTAATTTGTTGATCATCCACGTCTGATGATGTTCACAGACAATTTCATTTTCCTGTTTCAGGTCTCGTACAGGCTCTTCGAAGACACCGGCCTGTTTGCAACCTTCAAGATCCCAGTAAAAGAATTCATGAACTACTTCCATGCCCTTGAGAATGGTTACAGAGAAATACCATGTAAGCTTTAATATATCTCTGCTCATGTTTTTACTCTTCCTTCAGCTTATTGTTACTGCAGCTGCAACACTGAGTGCAGCCACTAGAGGGAAATGTCATACCATCAAACATATACGACTGTGTTCAGCCTTTATGGAGTTACATAAGCAACCTCACTGTGCACCCTGGTGGAGAAGATGACACACAATGAACTGACTTGTATTTCCTGACCCAGATCACAACAGAATCCACGCCACAGATGTGCTTCATGCAGTCTGGTACCTCACGACGCAGCCTGTCCCCGGCCTGCCGAGCCTCATCACTGACCACGGATCAGCCAGTGACTCAGGTGTGTCCATGGTTACATACATTCATTTGTCCTGGTGGGGGTGCGTGAATCTATCAGTTCACACTGATGGAAAATGTCACATAGGAACACATGAGCTCTCAATGCCCTTTCATTTGTTTTTTCTAAACTTTTGTTAAGCCATTTAATACCATACAAATCTGTTTATATCTAGGCCAGACTTTTTTATTTAGATTTTTCCATCTGCCTGCAGCTTTTCCGTGAGCCATCTTATTTATGTCTGGGCATCAAACCTTCAGGAGTGTGTGTTCTTATCCTTCTCACAGTTTGTCTTATCTTACTCAGGCTTTTGGCACTTGCATTTATGTATCACAAACTATTTGAAGTCTAGAACAGCATGAAATTGCAGGCAGATTATAGTTCCTTCTCACCCATATTTCCATAACCTCATTTGTATGCCTTACTAGGGCATCCCTTTGATCCACATATAAGTGGATTTGAAGTGTGTGTCTGTGCTCCAGATTGTGCGTGTGTGTGGTAAGGCACATGAAAGTGCAGTTGTGTTTGTGTAATTTCTTCCACCCTGCTCTTCACCGTCCTCCCTTTGTCTGCTCCCCCGCGGCTAGACTCCGACAGTGGAATAACACACAGTCATATGGGCTTCCTGGTTTCAAAGACCTACACTGTGTCAGAAGATGGTTACGGATGCCTGTCCGGCCTCATACCTGCTCTGGAGCTCATGGCCCTTTACGTGGCTGCTGCAATGCACGACTACGACCACCCTGGGCGGACCAACGCTTTCCTCGTGGCCACCAGCGCCCCACAGGTACTCGTGCATTGTAGAAAACAGATTTATCAAAGGCAGTTGAAGTTAATTTGCTTGATTTAGTGTTGTATTCAGTTTTTCTTTGTAATCAACAAGATGATTATTTCATTGGCCGTTTTTCCTCCACGTTGACTAGTTCACCGCCAAAATGCACTGGCAACGCTGAGGCAAATCATCTTTGTCAGCATAATCAAACCATCACCAGTTACAGTAGCTGCTCATTGTTTGTCAGAAATTGACGGGTGCTGTGGTTGTGTTTGTAACGTTATGTTTAGATCTATTATTGAGTAGTTTATAGGATATCTGTCTCGACATATCACCCAAACAAAAAGCTGTCATAAAATCAAAGAAAGAAAAATTGCTCTTTCTATCGATCCATCTATCTATATATATAGCACAGTGGCTATAACGTTCTTGAACATGGTACAAGCGTGATGTGTTTTTAAATTCTTGTGTTGTATTCAATGTCTCCTGAGTTACATTCTAGCAACATTTAAATAATCTGGATCATCAAGTCTCTCTTTGTTAGTAATATATGTGCAGGATTGCTGGATTCAAATAAAGGAACTTCTATACTAGTCAATGCTTATGTAAAGTGCTTGTGTGTTTGCAGGCAGTGCTCTACAATGATCGATCGGTTCTGGAAAACCACCACGCAGCCTCAGCCTGGAACCTCTTTATGTCGCGGCCAGAGTTCAACTTCCTCGTCAACCTGGACCATGGGGAGTTCAAGCGTTTCCGTTTCCTGGTCATTGAAGCCATATTGGCCACTGATCTAAAGAAACATTTCGACTTCCTAGCTGAGTTCAATGCCAAGGTAGATCTAAAAACACAATTGTTTGACATTAAGTACTGAAAAGATGTGACTTTCTGGTGTGAAGAGTTTAAGGGTTTGGTTGATAAAATCACTGGAAAATGTTCATTTTGACAACATCATACATTTAAAAACTTCTCATTTAGTTGATTTGGCCTCTAATAAGTACTTTAGGGATTATACAGTAGTTTTAAGCCAACACTGGGTCTACATACCTGATAGTATAAAGTGAATTATTGACGTTGAATAATTATTTTATTTTATTTTTCTTGGAAACAAGATTTGATTGCATAACCAATTGTCATGTAGCTTCACATGGCAACAGTATTCTCTAGTTGAGTCAAATGTATCCTTTAGAGCAGTGGTTCTCAAATGGGGGTACGCGGACCCCTAGATTGGAGTACTGCAGGGGGTACGTGAGATTTATTTTATGTTAATGTAAAAAAAAAAAAAAAAAGTTTTTGCGGTGTGGGTTTTATATTAACAGTTACACATATTTCAAAACGCGAAGTGTAATAACTGCAGTTTGCCTCCCTGTCAGAATGACAAAGGTCCTCAGTGAAGCACAAGCCCATGTTTCTCACTACATTGTAAGTACAACTTATTAAAAAGATCAGTTCAATGCAACTAATGTCGTCTCAGTGTTATTGCATGATGTTAAAATTGGTTTGCCATGAATTTAGTGATGGATTCTAAACATTTGAAATGTAGCATTTAAGTATTTCTCAGTTACAAGGTTGTTGTTTTAATAAATCAGACTCTGATGGTGCAGCACTGTACTGTACCTCTTTATGTAGGCTTTTCTTCCCTAACAAATTGTTTTTGCGCTGATCAGGGGGTACTTGGCTGAATTTTTTTTTCAAAGGGGGTACATGATTGAAAAAAGTTTGAGAATCACTGCTTTAGAGCAGTGGTTTCCAACCTGGGGGGCGCCAAAGATCGCAGGGGGGGGCGCCAGGCCTCAGATGATTTGAGGCCAAATATCATATTTAGACTTTTTTTTTTTTTTACATATAATTGTAACGCAATACATGATTGTCACTAAAAGCCTTGTCTCTACATTACAATAAATTAAAAAATAATAATTGATTACTTAATTTGAATAAAAATTCAAGTTAGCAGCTATTATAGGCATAAAAAGACAGAAATGTATAATTCTTTCTTTGATAGAAATGTTTCTTCTGCCCGTGAAGTGTCCAAACCAGGCTTTTCTGGATAAACGCATGTTTAAAACATGTCATTGTCCATGCCGGTTTCAGTTGGATTATTTGTCACAGTTGCTCCGATCAGATCGGTCTCCTCCATTTTGTAGATTATTTACGACTTTTGAATCCACATAAACAGATCGGCAAAATCCGGCTTACTTTGAGTATTGTGCAGTTTAATCCCTTTGTGAATTAGTTCCACTTGCGCCGTCCTTTCATTTCTTCATTCAGCGGGAATCCAAATGAATTAATCCTGAGTCCAATAACCATCAAAGTCACTCCAATAGTGCTCCTTAATTACGCTTTCATCCTCTTAACAAAATACTTCACATTCATCCAGTTTGTGACAGTAGCTGTATAGCATTTTTGAGACTTTTAAACTTTAATTACCGCTGTTGCGCCCCCCCCCCTTGCGTGTGTGTGGGGGGGGGGGGGCGCAACTTCCAACAGGAGTCATTTGGGGGGGCTCTTGGTAAAAAAGGTTGGGAACCCCTGCTTTAGAGGGGCTTGCCATACTTTCATACCTCAACTATTTTACTAGACAATAAACGTTATTGAAGGGGAAATATCCAGCGGTTTTCAAAGAACAAGTCTGTTTGTGCAGAACATTTCAGCAGTTCCAGTATGTTCAGCTGATGTCAACAACACAAAGCGCCCTGCAGCTTTTCAAGAACTCATTTAAGTGCAGACAGAATGTTGGTTTTGGATGAGGGATTTGGGTTTTTCCATTGTGAGCATTAGTACAGTCGTGTTGCTCGATGTCCAGAACCTGCCAGAAAGCATTGAGTCTCTGGGCTTGGCAGCAAAAGTACCAGCGATGTCTCTCTCATTGTTGTGCACCCCACTCTGCTGTTCCTGGAAGCAAATTAGCTTTCTGTGAAGTACTAAATTTCATACTTGATCTCTTTAGCTACTGGATTATTAGGTTAGATAAGACTCTGGGAGTCAGGGCTGCTCCTTCTTCAGATCTGAAGCTCATTAAAGATAACTAGAGATAACAAATTGATTCAAACCTTGTTAAGATAAATGCAAGCTTTAACTTCATGTGTGTGAGCGTGCCACATCGGTAGAGTTGATAATAAGAGATTTCACTGATTCAATTCAGAGAAATTCATCATTAATAATATCTCATACACATAGGAACTGGTCATAACCTATATAAACAGTCTATGGTCTTGACATATATTTATAGCATAGTAATTAAAACCTCTACCGTTTTGGATTAAGCGCATTAAAAGAAAGTATGCACATATTATTGTCCTCATTGCTTTTGTCTTTTAAATTGTATTCCAGTGCTGCTGTATGCCTTCTCCCTGATTGATAAACCCTCCAGACATTACTATGAATACACAATCTTTGAACAACAGATACATGGCATCACATTTACATAACATCTGTACATCACATGCTTCGTCTGCCTACACATTTGAATTTGTGACATGTCAACATGTCTGTTTTGTGATCCCTTAGGTGGGTGATGATCCCTCCACGGGTATTGACTGGTCTAATGAGAATGACAGGCTGCTGGTGTGCCAGATGTGCATCAAACTGGCCGATATCAACGGGCCTCTGAAGTGCAAGGAGCTGCATCTGCAGTGGACGGAGGGCATCGTCAACGAATTCTATGAACAGGTGTGTGAAACGTCTCTGATGGGGACCCAATGTATTTGGTAAACTAAAGATCAGTGGCCTGTCATGTTTAGGTGCAGGGGGGAACACAACAAAACAAACACCTGCACAGTATACTGTTACACATGATCAATAACAGTACTCCTACAACACTAAAATATATAAGAGTTTATTTGTAGTCCATCCCGCAAACAACACACCTTCCTCCTGCTGTAAATACTGACTAACCCATGTGTCATAGCCCACAACTCAAAATATGTCGAACAAATAAACAATTTTCTCCTCCTATTTCAAACAAATGAGCCTAATACTAAGCTATTGTAGTCAAAACATATTTACGGTTATATAAAAGAGTAAAACATATGTATCATATAGGGAGGCTTACACTTAACATTCCTACATAATTGGAACTTTGAACCCTAAAGCCAACCTCTGAACCTTCATCTTAATTAGATCCTTAATGAGAATCAAACAGAACATCCTTATTCAGATCACATAATTCTTCAGACCTAAAATCTAACTGGTGACAAACACAAACATATGTACACAGTTGGTAAATGTATTTAGACTGCTTGAATGTATCTATCGTTTTTCTCTTGGAGCAGAGGAGCAGAACTGCATTTTTGACAAATGTCAAATGTGTCAAATACCATTTAAAGTTTGACAGACAACTGAATTGTTCTTTCTCAAACTCCATAGAAGACAGTAAAAACTGAAACCCCTCCTCTATATTTTTTTCTTCCTCCCTGTAGACTTTTGGCTTCAGGCGTTTTCTTTTCATTCAATCTTTTTGACGTATTAAGATATTAATGGCAGAGCTCCCCCCGAGAGCTGCTATTGTGTGAGGAGCTGTCATGAATTCATGATGAAATGTACGCATCTGTTCATTATATATTCTACTTTTGGTTTATGAATTTCCATGTTACTTACATGAGCCATGCAGTGGTTAAATAGGAAAGGAGTCTTAGTTTTGGCTGTAAGAATGGGTTCACATGGACGCTTTGTATGTCTGACTTTGTTGTCAGTGAATAAGGTGTTCCCTCATTTTACTACTACAATAACATACAGTAAGATATGGCCACAGTATTTCGTACACCTGTCCAATCTATATACATTCAACACAACAGCTCTGCTATAAATTATATGTAAAGATTTTTTTGAATCTTTTGACACTGCCGGAGATGTTCACCAAATTCATTTAAACATTCATTATTGTGGTCAACGTTAAAGCTAGTGTTGTTCTGGACTATATTCAAATTAATAAGAAGTCATATTTACATACATAAGGAGGGCTGAATATTAGAAACACCTCCGAAAATTATTCAGTGCAATACAACACAACCACTTACAATGACTACAATGCTAAAAGGTGTTATTGAATTAACAGCTCTTTGAATAAATACTTATACAGGCATGTTAAAAGAAGGCTTTATGACAAAATAGCTGCCTTGGATTGCCTTACATTGTACATTGTGTACCCAATAAAGTTGCCATAGTGTACAGTGCTTATGTACTAATTACCTGATAGTTATCCGTTCAGCCTAATGCCGCCCTCAATGACCTCCGATACACTTTGTCCTCTTGGTTCTGAATGCTTGCTTTTCTCCTAATGGCCTTTGAGTCTAGCTAGGGCCATTTTGTGCCCCGCTACTTCAGATGGGACAAACAGGACAAACAGATTGTAGGAGCCTTGCAGGAGAAACGCTCTTCATTGACAATAGTTGTAGGGCTGCTATGTGTAGTGACACAGGCAGGCTGCCCAGGCAACTGTCCTTCAGGTGGAGCAGCATCCTGATTACTCTGACAGCCTTAAGAGTCCAGCAACCTTCAGAAAACCAGCAAAACAATTAAGCTCCCCCTCAATATAGAACTTGTTCAGGCTTGTATACAAAGCGTCATCATACACAAACACTTGGTCGTCAAGCACAAAAAAACATGTTGACGGAGCCTTGAGGATAAGATTTGTTTTCCTCTGAAATTGATTATGATGTGTGACCTAGGATCTGGGTATCTTGAATCTAAATCGCAATATTGGATGAATCTCTGGGCTTACAGAGGCTTACTCTTATATATATATAAGAGTAATATATATATATATATTGTAAATCCTACTACCAAATATGAGCAGACTTATTTATTTGGATAGCTTATCTCAAAGACATGATATTTTGATTTGGGAAAGCTAACCTTGCAATACATGTTTTTAGGAAGTAGGAAGCTGGATCTCAGAACAGCTTCTCCTATGTTTTATTGAGAAAAACAACATATTAAGCTAGCAGTGAAACAACATATAACATATAAGGTAGATGTATTATCACTTAACATTGCCATAGCTCCCCACACCCCTACAGGCATGTAAAACATAATAACATACAAAACCATACTCAAACCCCCTCAAAACACATTAATTATAATAATTGTTATACAATTAAAATAAATATACTTTGGTAAATGCATTGGTTAAAGTTTAACGATAAATGTAATGCAACACAAGTCAACATCCAACTGATATCACTTTACCAACAAGTAGCAGATTAATCCCAGATACCGCCTTTTGATGCCTGTTATTGTGCTGTACATTAGAAGGAACAGGATCAAAGGCTTGCTACTGTAAACTGTATGGGATGACATGTGAGGTCAGTTACCAAGGCAACGAGGAAACCTTGTTATAGCTGTTCTTCATTGCCATCGATACAGACGTCACCGACACACACATGCTGCTGCTCCACAGCCGTCATACTATATTCTTTATTTAGCTGTGTTACGTTCCCTTCTAAATCTAGGGGGTACAAAGGGAAGTAACAACACACAAGGATGACCAAGCACGACAAAAAAGGAGAGAAAACCGATCTCTGAGTAACGAACAAGTCGTTTAATGAACAAGACAGGAACACGGGCTCACCAGCCAACTTGCACAGAATACTACAGCATCGATATATATCACGGAGCTCCCCTCCTATCAATCGGCAAGACACAGGTCTGCACACATGCAGCCAGGGGAGAAGGGGCGAGCGACAGCAACCTTCCTCCTGTCCTATATGGAGGCCCTGATTGAGGATTGGGAGCACCTGGGGAGAGGCTGCACCTGGGGACAATCAGGCTCTACCTGGGGAATCAGAGGGAGAGAGAAAAAGACACACACCCAAACACCAGCACCCACTACGGCACGTAACAACCCCCTCCATTAAACCAAACAAGTGTTTGGCCACCGTTACTAAAACACACATTACACAGTTCACAAGCCTACTCTTGAATGCTTGGAAGCTGCCACCTGCTGCTTCCAAGCCATACACTCCGCCACTAAATGACCAGGGTCAAGACAATAGAAACACAATCTCTTAGTGTCGGGACCTGGGAGAGAAACAGAATGAGCACGTGTGACACGTCTGTTACGAGCCCTACAGTGAGGATAACTGCCCTGAGGATAACTTTACCCCTGGCTATATCATTACCCATTATCACATCCACACCGTCGACAGGAAATTTGGAGAGCACAGCAACTGGAAAGAAACCAGTAGCCAGTTTGGACTGGACATGGACATTGTGGAGAGGTGCGGGCACAAAACCCATTTCAATACCTCTTACCACGGCACCTACATCACAGGCAGACTCAGCACTCAAGGGCAGAGCACTGGCAAGAATGAACGACTGTGAGCCACCACTGTCTCGTAACACAGTAACCTGACGCTGGTCCTCCAACTTCCCTGACAGAGAGACAAAAGCAGTAGAGATGAACGGCTTAAAACACTCATCAGGGCCCATTTTAACAGTGGCCTGACCACTAGGACACACTGTTTTAATCAAGCCCACCCCTTTTGGGTGCTTGCCACCTGCTGCCCGCTCTCGCTTCCAAGCTGCACAGTCGGCTATCATATGACCTGGGTCAAGACAAAAATAACAAGCTCTGTTTATCCTGGGACCTAACAATGGAACACTGGCACAGGGAACGTAATTGTCAGGAGCTCTACGATAAGTGTCCCGCTGAGGAGGATCACGCTGAAAAAAAACGCTCTTGTGTATCAGCGCAAACTCGTCTGCCAGAGTGGCAGCCTGCTGAAGGGTAGTCACTTTCTGCTCATTCAAATAGACTACCGTACGCTCCGGTACACAGTTTTTAAACTCCTCTAACATCATCAGCTCACACACTGAAGCAATGTCATCCGCTTTACACGCTCTACCCTACCTGTCAAAGAGGACTTTCTTCTCCCTCGCGAAGTCCACGTACGTTTGGCCAGAAGTTTTCTTCAGGCCGCGAAAACGCTGCCTGTAGGCCTCAGGCACAAGCTCATATGCCCTGAGAATAGCACCTTTCACATTGTCATACACCAAACTATCCTCGACAGAAAGAGAAGAGCAAGCCGCTTGAGCCTTGCCGACTAGCTTGCACTGTAAAAGAATAGCCCACACCTCTTCTGGCCACTGCAGAGCAGCAGCAATGCGCTCAAATGCACCAAAATAGACTTCCACCTCTGATTCACGAAACACAGGGACCAAAGAAATATGCCTGCTCACGTCAAAGGAGGCAGCAGGACTAGAAGGTGTAACTGCAGAATCACCCACCACAGCTGCTTGGAGCTCTAGCTGACGCATCCGGACAGCAGTGTCTGCCTCCAACTTCCTGACTTCCAGCTCCTGCTTCCTCCTGAGCTGAAAATCCCTATCACGCTCCTCCCTCTCACACTGGAGACGAGCCATACGCACTTTTACCCTAGCATCTAATTTAGGTGAGGATCCTGCCGAGAACGAGCCAAACTGAGGTGTGGTGAAAAGTGTTGCCTGTTCCGTAGCACTCTGAACACCAGGAGTAACACCAATGCAGCCTCCACCATGAGATACTGCTGCTACAGCCCCGGCCACCGTGCCAGGAGATTCCACTAAAACCCCCTGTTCAACTAGTCCAGTTAGCAAAGTAGCCTTGAGTTCACTTTTAACAAGAGCAGAGGAGACAGAAACGTGATAATGGTCAGCAACTAACCGCAAATCAACCTTCCTACAGCAGTCTAGCTGACCCACAGTAGGACTGGCCACAAACTGCTCCAAAACAAAAGCCATCCTTAGCAACGGCTACTTACAAATATATATAAATATATATATATATTTTTTTTTTACAAACTTCCCCAGATCCTGCCTACCAAACTTACCTAACTATCTTCTGGGGCGTGCCGGGCTCGAGGCGACTTTAAAGGCAAACATCAGCGGCCGAAACCCTGAATCGCCTGCCCCCAACTGGGAATAAATCCCCACCCAGGATTACCCCGAAAATAAAAAAGGCAAAATAAAAAACGAGTGCCTGAAGGAAGGACTGATTCAGCCCAGCTAGACACTCCCCTGTCTAAACTGAGGAAGTCAATGCTACCAAACACAATATTAACACTAAACCACAAACAAATACTCGCTCTTTTTCTGAAAGATTGGACGAGCCCCCATGTTACATTCCCTTCTAAATCTAGGGGGTACAAGTAACAACACACAAGGATGACCAAGCACGACAAAAAAGGAGAGAAAACCGATCTCTGAGTAACGAACAAGTCGTTTAATGAACAAGACAGGAACACAGGCTCACCAGCCAACTTGCACAGAATACTCAACCCAGTCTCATGGCATTTTGTGTTCACCAACACGATCTTTAATCGATTGATTCGTGTTCACCAACACGATTTCCCCCTTTTTTTCGTGTTGCACAGCACGATTTTAAAAGCAATGTATTTATACTGGTAATGACGCTCATGGAAGCACGGCATTCGTTTGTGTCGGCTGCCCTTAAAGGCAATGTGAGCGTCCATTCTCATTGGATAACGGAGAATTGTACACCCGGAAGTAAGTATTCCCCTTACTGTCGATTGATTTTACAGTGATATCTGCACTACTCATCGACTAAAATCCTTGTTAATTACACAACATTGATTGGTTTAAATTGTGTGCAATGCTTTTGTATTTTTCCCCTTCGATTCGGAGAAACAAACCCAGTGATAGTCCTCAAGCTCTGTGATTGGAGAGTGTGCTCCGAGGGTTACGCCGAGCCTCGAACAGCACTTGAAATGGGATGGAACCCCGTTTTTTTTCACCATTCATTCCAATGGCTGGCGTCTATGTCACGTGATCTTCAAATTTCTCCCTGCAGAAGAAAAAAAACATGGCCGAACTTCGTTTTATTCTCGGTGGAAAATGCCTATTTTAAAGTTAGTTTGGCCATTAATTTAAAATGCGTTTTGATGTCATTTGATGCGAGAAACATGAGTTGTTATTTCAGATTAGGTGTGCAGTGGATGTACATGATATTTAGTTTGCTAGTTATTACGAAGATTACTTCAGGAAATCGCGACGTTTTCATTGTTACCAAGGTGGTTGCTAGGGACGCTGCTATCGATATTATTTATGTTATGTTGTGTAACTGTTTAATGGTGTTATCTTTATTGCTACCCCCTTCCCCGTCAATGTATAATGTTGGTCCACAGCGCAAACATATTAGTTTAACAAAATCCGCATCTAAAGATAGCCTACGTTATTTTCCCCTGTGCAATTCCAGTCTCACATCTCACAGCACATCGTCAATAACAAATACCGGAAACAGACCGAAAACATTTAAAAAAAAAAAAATAATACTTTATTCCGAGTGTGCTTGCTTTTCTCTTTGAAAGTCATCACATAATGGCATTGTAATACACGATTCGGCTGCATTAAATATTACATATCTGCCGTAGTTCTGTATTTATAGAGCCCTGATGAGAAGACTTCTAGACAAACATGAGGAACTGAAAACGTGACGTGGATCATAAATATATCAGCCATTAAACAACATCTTACATTTCTTTTCACACAATACGTCTCCTTGCAGTATCAACACTAATTCGGCTGACTTTTATATTTGATCCAATTGGTAGATAAGCTGTATTTACACCATAAAGGTGCACAGCTGATATAAAGGGACACCTAGTGGTTAAAGCATGTTATTGAATTTCATTATTTTTATTATTAGATATTAATAGGATCCCTATAAAGTATATTCATTACTCGTTATTCTCTACTAATAGTTAATTAAAGACTGTATATAATGACTATTTTGACATGGGCCTGCACAACTATGGTGTAGTTATGCATTGAATGAAAAACTTGGGTCGCAGGTTCCTCAATAGTGCATTACAAGACATCTATCAATATTTGTGCATACCTCCAGCAATGTTAACTATGTTGAAGCACTTATTTTAACTGATATTATACATAATGTATTATACTCTTATAAGATGTATGTAGATATTTCATCTCTGGCCTTGTCAGGTATTGAACAATCAATAAATAAAGAACACAGAATTGTTAAATATAAAACACAGAATTTGTGTGATTATACTAAATGATTTACAAATAAACATCACTGCATATTTACAACTGTTACACATGCTGATGTAACACAAATGTTCCAACTTGGGATCAATAAAGTATATCTTATCTTAAGCTGATCGATGGCTACTGCCATATTTGCAAAATGTGCCTCTGAACCTTGACAAGTGCATGTTTCAGGCTTATCAATTAATGTAATGTAATGTTATCAATTAACAACAGGGGTCACAAACATAAGACCAGCTGTTAAATAAAGCTCTTCTGACCTTAGCTGGCATGTGTGTATATATATATTAATGCTGCCCATTATGGGCACAAGCCATTTTCACCCATTTATTAATGATATGTTTTAAATTTGAGTGTTTCCTATCCCCTAAACCTCCAGGGATGTACACAGTTTAATACTGGCAACTTCTTATTATGGGAAATACGAAAACGTCTTTTAAAACTACAACTCCCAGTAGAGACGTGCCATAGATAGAGAACATGTTGCGAAACAGAATAGCCAGCATGTGTAGTTCTGGGGACGGGGTGGGGGAGGGGGGGACGCGGTGGACCCGTTCAAATCCAGTTTTGGACAGTCTGCCGTGATTCCATCCCATTTCAAGTGCTGTTCGAGGCTTGGCGTAACCCTCGGAGCACACTCTCCAATCACAGAGCTTGAGGACTATCACGGGGTTTGTCAAACAGAGCACATGGTGTAGTCCAAACGATAGCTGGGGATTCTGGGTAGTGTAGTGTCTTCTGCTATCCTTTACTCCGATTTGTTTCTCCGAATCGAAGGGGAAAAATACAAAAGCATTGCACACAATTTAAACCAATCAATGTTGTGTAATTAACAAGGATTTTAGTCGATGAGTAGTGCAGATATCACTGTAAAATCAATCGACAGTAAGGGGAATACTTACTTCCGGGTGTACAATTCTCCGTTATCCAATGAGAATGGACGCTCACATTGCCTTTAAGGGCAGCCGACACAAACGAATGCCGTGCTTCCATGAGCGTCATTACCAGTAGAAATACATTGCTTTTAAAATCGTGCTGTGCAACACGAAAAAAAGGGGGAAATCGTGTTGGTGAACACGAATCAATCGATTAAAGATCGTGTTGGTGAACACAAAATGCCATGAGACTGGGTTGGAATACTACAGCATCGATATATATCACGGAGCTCCCCTCCTATCAATCGGCAAGACACAGGTCTGCACACATGCAGCCAGGGGAGAAGGGGCGAGCGACAGCAACCTTCCTCCTGTCCTATATTGAGGCCCTGATTGAGGATTGGGAGCACCTGGGGAGAGGCTGCACCTGGGGACAATCAGGCTCTACCTGGGGAATCAGAGGGAGAGAGAAAATGACACACACCCAAACACCAGCACCCACTACGGCACGTAACAAGCTGTTTCAAATGTTATCAGGCAGGTACATTTCCAGTATCAATTGTTTACTATTCTTATTCTTCAAAAGAGCCAAACTGCACCCACTAATATCTAACTTTAAGAAAGAGTTTTGTAGAGTTTGAGTGAAGTCTAGAGAAACTCCCTCGAGGGAAATTAGGGATTTAAGCGTTTTTCAGACCAAATACATGCACACAAATCTGTAGAACACACTACAGGTAAGGGAAAGCAATTATGCATGTTATGTCCATTTGATCACCAAGGCTACATTCGTTAAAATAAATTGAGAATTTTGGTTTCACACAGGCTAAAGAATATATACTCTTGGGTAAATTGCTATGTTAGTTTGACCTCTCCCTCCCGATCCCACCAATTGGACTTCCTCTGTCTACACACAGTTACCGGACTTCCTTTATTATTGCTACAGCAGCTAAAGGTCACTGGCTTCTCGTGTTTGTAAATAAATGATAACGCCATTCTGATACTTACTTATGGGTGTAGCAGGCCCCTTCTATACATTGTGGGTTTTGGATCGAAAAGCAAACAGCTTGGACATTGATAAGCGTGACATCTATCCCACGTGTTCCCTCCGGCCTGATGACTGAAGTATTGCAATGTGAGTCACGCCATGTATTGGCCTTCATGCACTAATGTGGTTCATGCTTTATGTAGGGCGACGAGGAGTCCAGCCAGGGCCTTCCCATCAGCCCCTTCATGGACCGAGCGGCACCACAGTTGGCCAAACTCCAGGAGTCATTCATCACACACATTGTGGGACCGCTGTGCAACTCCTATGACTCAGCTTTCCTCATTCCTGGACGATGGGTGGATCCCAACCCAGAGGGAGAGGAGCCGGAGATAACAGAGAATGAGAATGAGGAGGAGGAGGAGGAGGAGGAGGAGGAGGATACTGCAGAGGAAGACGCATCGACCAGCTCAGAGGCATCACGTAAGCACTATGGTCAAAAACAAAGATTTATAATTAAACAAGGGACCCAAGCCTGCTCTGGAAGTGACCAGAACAAATTAGAATGCCTGCTTTTGTGTGATAACGATTTTGCATTAATGCCATTTGTTCTCTTTATATGGATTTGATTTTATCATGTAATTTACAGCAGGACATTCAAGAGTGTTTCCCCTCTTAAAAATACACATTTGTTATTTGGCAGATTTAGATACATTACACTTCAACATTGGATCACAATGCAACAAGGAGAGCACATTAAAGCAGAAGAGAAGTGAGGTTTTATTTTTAGTAAGCCTCTGCAGGAGCCTGCAAGCAACACTTTACATGTTGTCGTATGCATGTATAATTTATGCAACATATCCATATTTCTACCTTTATTAATCATATCATATAAATAAACAGAGAGGAAAGACATCTCAAAGGGGGCATATCATGCAAAAACCACTTTTTCATGTATTTTCTACATCAACATGTAACCCTCTGTGTAAAGAGATTCTGAAAGTTTCAAGAAAAAAGATTCGCTCCCTTTTTGTCCTGATCCATTTATATAAAAACCTGTCTGAAGTGAGCTGATCAGATTGTGGCCACTTTATGATGTCATAACGTTTTTTTGGCTTGTGTAACCATTAGCCAATAACCAACCAAGGTAACCCCCCCCCCCCCACCTTATCACCTGAATCTCCTCCTAGAGCACCATTGGGTTCTTTTGAACCAAATATCTCTCAGAGGGGCGTGGGGAGTTGCTCCTTGTTTTCATCTAAAGTAACAGACAGAGAATCAGCACTTTTGAAGCAGGGCTGAAACAGAGGGGATAATGGGATGCTACAATGATCTGTTTGGTATTTCGAGCCAAACACTTCAGAGACATGTTTTGTATATACTGTATATGAGACCTGTAATATATTGATGAAAAACAGTATAATAAGGGACATTTAAATGGCTTTGAGAGTGGTGTGTGTGTGACACTGTGACAGTGTTCTCCTGTAGTTGTGCAGCTTCTGTCCAAATGTATGACCACGTAGTTGTCTGCAATTGAATAATTGACTTACATTAATTCATCAAAAGAAAGTCTTCACAATTTCTTTCTATTTTCTTCAGAGAAAGCTATTTCCAAGAAGAGAAGGAAAGTGTTCTGCCAGATCACCCACCACCTGATGGAGAACCACGAGATGTGGAAGAAGGTGATTGCAGAGGAGGCCCCGAAACAGGGCCAGGGAGCAGAAACCGTCCATTTAAACAATGTAGCTGAGCCAATCCTGGCAATTCACGAGGAGGAAGAGGAGCCAGGCAGCAGAGAGGAGTTACTGGAAGGAGAGGATCCAGAGGAGGGAGTGGAGGAACCAGAGTGGCCCGTGACTGCGCAGGAAGACTGTAAACCTGCAGAGGAACGAGTGGAGGAGGACCCACAGTGAAACAGCTCATGGGAAATATGGCGTCAGTCAGGGCAAGGATGTGAAAAAGTATTTCTTGTTTTCCAATCCTATCAACTGACTCCTATCTTTGCCAGCACATCACTTAGACACAACACTGTAGATGTTTGGGAAATGTGTGCCTATACATAACAAAAAACAGGGTGGGAAATATGTGCTTTACACATTTTATCTGAATATCTGGGTTCACCAAACATTTAAAGGAGCTTTCCATATTGCAATACAGGATGATTTGTGTACTTTGGGATACAGACTCTTTTGCTACTGTCAAGAGAAGAGGAAGACTGCTTGCACAGACCTCAACCCAATGTGGTAACACGGGACTGCAGACATTCGCTGCCAATTTATACATAATTATTTTCTGAATGCAATTATATATAGACATCACAGTTACTTGTACTTGTGTTTCAATTTTAGCAAGAGTTTTTGAGGTCAGACATGGGCCATATTATGTTTTCTTTTTCTATATATGGATTATAAAGGGAGTCAATCGATTAAAGAACATTGGCATCTTTTTTTTCTTCTTCTGCCAAAAAAAATTACTCACCCTTAGGCTTAAGCATATGAAATCTAATCTTTTTTTTTTTTTTACATTTGTTGCCAAATTACTGTAAGTACTTTATACCAATAGGTATAGTCATATTACTTTAAGGAAAGAGACAAGAGGCTCCTCACACTCTGTATTTGTATGCGTGTGTGTCTGCATGTTTATATAAGTTCTTCTCCAGAGGATATAGATATATTTATCCGATTTATTTGTGCCATCTCTGGTCTCCAGCCTCGAGATAGATATAGAGGTCTTTACAGGGTTCACTGTCCTAATTGTTGTATTCCCAAGGCCTGCACTAAGACTGCATTAGAGGGTGGCTGGAAATGAATTTGTGCTCAATACTAGACCAAAAAGGGAACGTCAGTACAGAGAACAAACACTAATACAACCAAAGTATCTAGGAACAATATAAGGGGAGATAACAACAAAAATGGACCAGAAATGTATTACCTAAAATAATTAAGAAGGAACATCCTACAATATTCTTTGAAAAGGGTCCAAACATCAGGTAGACTAACTAATACACTTTCCTTTGTATTATCTTTGCAACCCATAACTCTCTGACTATGTATTTGGACTCAGTGTGCTGTATTATAGTCTCAACACACTTTCCTCATTATGTAAAAAAAACCTGCAAATGATGCTGACCGTTAACCCTCAGGAAAACCTTAACTGTAGACATTCAAAGTAAACATTTGTACCACCTGTGAGGACAGTACGTTACAAATATGCAGGGATAGTAGTACATGAGTTTAGAATATGTTCATAAAAGGCTGCAGTTTATGTCACAACAAAGCCAATAAACACATTGAACTCTTCCCCCGTCACCTCAGGGCAGGCCCGGTTCTACGGGGGTGCATAAGGGTGCATTGCACCCTCAGTTGAGTCGTTATGCACCCTCATTTGAAAAACGAAAAGTGAAAAAAATTCTAAATTGAAAAAAACAAACAATTCTAAAGTGAAAAATATTACATATATAATAACAATAATAATAATTGTAGTACTAACAAGAATAATAAGAAGAATATAGTCAATGATGGACATCAGAAAATGGTTAAAACAACCAGCTCTTATCGCCAGCAGTAACACTGCATCTACTGCAGGTAATAACAGTTCAGATCATGGGGACATTACGTTACCCGCGGCCACAGTTGAGTACCCAACTCGCCTGTACAGTGGGGTAAGGCACTCATTTTGCAGCTCATGGTTTAAAAACAGAGATTGGCTGGAATATTCATGTGAAAAAGATGCCATCTTCTGCTATGCATGTAGACATTTCGGTTCAAGTACGTCAGATGCCTTCACCACAACTGTACCAGAGTACCAACTGCTGTCTCCTGGTACTCATCTGAGTAACTCACTCACTAAAAATGAAATACTATATGACAGTAAAACAAGAATGCAGTTTGAAAGAGGAGTGATTTGTAAAATATCCATAAAGAAAAAGTAAATCTGTTTACAGTTCTGTTTCATATGGGTGTTGAGATGTATCCATAGATCTCTTAATGTTGCTCTCAAAGTGCACCAGATTGATGCTTTTAACTTCAATATAAAAAAAAAATCTTCCCGGGGGAGCATGCCCCCGGACCCCACAAGAGGAGGTGAGGACCCCCCTAGAGGGTGTTAGGTCCACTCCCCACTTATAAAAATAGCACCCTCTCTAATCTCAGATGCACCCTGAGTCATTTTGTTCTGGAACCGGGCCTGCCTCAGGGCGACATTCATTCTCTCAGAGCTCCAGCGTCTGGATTTACTATTTCTGCCAGGTCAAGTCCAATTTGATTTATCACATATTTCTGTGATGATACAGAGGGAAATAATTCAGATAAAAAAATGTTTATCACTCAAGAAAAATGTAGTTTGACATGTACAGTAGTCAAGGTTAATGTGATTCAAAGTGTTCATGCAAGGCTGAAACGATTAGAAAATAATGTTTTTTATTTCATGAATTGGATTGCAGTAAAAGCTACATTTTCAGTGATGGCCAAATTGACCGTGATTGCAGCATAATGTGTTATTGAATCACTTACTCAAGCACTAAAGCATCAGATTTGTCACTTGGGAATAACCATGACCCAATGTTTTTCAATCATAATCACTCCCATTTACTCACATTTGCACATCTTTAAAGTTGTTGTTTTCTTATGTTTCACTATCACTGGGAAAAAGGAAGTGAATATGTTAGTTTTTGCGATCTTTACCCCACATTTGTAATTGTTAAAATCAATGATTCATTCAACAAAAAGAAAGAGCTCTTGAAACGTTTCCAAAAGACATAAAAACATTGTTTCTAAAACATGACTTAATATTGGTAAATTGAATATAAAACACAAATCATAAACCCTACATTCAATCAAGAGAAGCCATGAGGAAAAACAATTACAAAACCAACTTTGCAGTAGCTGGAGTAGCCTTCAAAATGTCTCTGAAGAGTATTCCACTTTGCTTTAATAATTCACAGTTGCATATAAAAACGTGTTTGAGAAACCGTAGGTAGATCTTAAGTTGAATAAGTGAAGTTGAGTTGGTGGGTCAATTTTTTGTCACACACGAGTGCGGTGAGGCAATAAGTAATGAATTATCCAGTGATAAGCTTGTCGAGTTCTCATGACCTACATGCTCACCGTTGCTCTCCTCCATCATCTAATTTCTTTAAAAACTGCACATAGAGCCTCCTGTAGATTGGACATAATGGAGTCTTCCTGTGATTGAAATAACATTGGGTGTAGAACATCATGTCCTTGCGGATCATGCATTAGCGTACTTTATTACCACCCGATGTTCCTGGCTGTGGTGAATAGCGCACTTCATCCATAATGGCCTGTTAACTGCTGTCCTGTCTCTGGCTCAGTGGGGAGGGGGGGGGGAACTCAGGAACGGCAGCTTAGGCCACAGAAGTCGACTCACTGATTAGAAAAACATCGGACAGAGAATCATTTATATCGGACCAAACTTGTTAGCAGCAGCTGAATCAGACTTTTTTTCCTGACCTCTAATGATCACATGTAGCCGCCCTCATTGTTTATTCTAAACAACATGCCTGCTGTTGTTTGTATGTTGCCTGCAACCCCTCTAATGAGCTATAATCACCATTACAGACACAATGAATACATTTTATTCATTAAAAATAAAATAACGCTTTTTTTTCTATCACTATTTGCGATGATGAAACTTCCACTTGTTTATATTTCAACCAACCAGGTTGTACAATTATACAATTACATCAACTCGAACTCTCCTTTGTGAATGTATAGAAACAGCATACAGTGTGTGTGAAAGAGAAAGATGGTGTGTTTGTGTCCATTTGAATTCTTCCATTGGCCTCTCTAATGTGACTCCTGTATTTAGCTAGCGTTTGCTGTTAAGTAGAGGAGGCTATGAGTCACAAGTAGAGGTGGTGAAAAAATGAAGGGTAAAGTGATGCATTATGTAGTTCTTCAATGCTTCTCAGATGAAATAATTATTCGCAGAAGGACCTATTGCATATTTCTCCTTGTGCTTCCACTTTGATCTGCTTAGCGTGCAGATCAGAGATCCTTACTGGCAACAGTGGTAATACAATAGTAGCATTCATCCCACGTCACTCATCACTAAAGACGATGGGATTCTGTCCACTGTGATAGTATGTTGATGATCTTTTTTCAGTGGACTATATATGCATTTTTCCCCCAGTCACATCAGTCTTAAGTCAATACTTGCATTTGAGCTGATCCAGTATATCAGTTTTGTTTGTGTACTTTTTTTCTCCATTGGTTTATTTGAGTGTCATACTTATTCACACGTGTAGCATAATTGTAACCATGGGAACCAAACGAGCTTTACAATTATGTAAAAAAAAAAGAAATGAGACGAGTATTTTTATATAGTTGACACATGATTAAATAATTGCTTTCTTCTCACTAGTACCTTGCACTTACCACATGTACTAATACTTACACAAGGAAGACTTTGTCCAAATACACAGTATTTGTGAACGTTAAATGATTACTTTTCTTGCAGGTTGATGCTCCATTTTGTACAATATACATATATGCTGTACAGTAAAGACATTTTAAAACTTCAAAAACTCTTTTAGATATACATTATTTATTTTTACCATTTTGTAATTTAGACACTATACTGTAGCTTCAATATTGCCAGACTTACTGGAAGTGCCTATATTGGTATTATGTATCATACAGTGAATATATTTGAAGATCATTAGAAGTCGTCACAAACTGAACCATGTGGATGTTGTAATGTGAATACATTGAATTACAAGACTATAATTTCTGTGGTATCCCCGTCTCTGTGTTGTGTTTTTCTTTCAGCTTCTAATCTATATTTAGAATGTGCTTTATATTAAAATACACAAACTACATTATTATACAATTTGAAGTTCTGGGTGCTTTGCTTCATCAAGACCATCAACGCTTTCGATCAAGTTTAGATCTTGAACCTGAACATTTTATCTTTTCTATTATTATATTGTATTTTAAAGCGTTATTTATTTGCAATCCTCAAATATTTGTTTTGTAATGCACATGTCCCCCTTTGAGCACAGATGTTTGTCAATTTTAAAATAAAGTGGAGAAAGATTTTCTTTAAATTAGAAATTTGCCGAAATTGATTACAATTTAATTGTATTTATAGTTTATAGAGATTTCTTAAATATTCAATGTAAATGTTTGCAGAAAAAACAATTGCAGAAAAAAGTTCTTTAACGTTAAATTTACGATTAAGAAATCGTGAATTATTCCTTCTCTAGGGTGAAGTTTAAAGAGCCTGTGACACGAGTTTCTCCCATCATCCAAACCCATCAATTTGAGTAAATAGTGTCCCCTTGAAAACCGTTACTGAACTGATTTTGGATATTTGTACTTTGATAACCATTAATCTGCCCTTCAATGTTGACCATTTTCTGGATCTTCTCGGGGATTCTTCAAGTCCCGCCAAATTATGTGTGACGTCATTGCGGGCACAGCGCTCCAGCTGCACCGTTCAGGATCCCAGCATCTGCATGTAAACGCACGATGGCGCACACAGCAGCAAGCGATGACAGCTCAGACAGTTTCATTTTGAACGTGTCTGAGAGCTCATATGAGGCTGAAGGATCGCTTTATGTTGTATCTGTTAGAAGTTTAGGAATTAGGTGCGTCAATATGGGCGATCATACGGTCATGTAGCCAGTGGTGGACTGGGACTAAAAATCATCCCGGGACTCTCGACCGGCCCACTTCGGTACCGCTAGTAAATTGTCAACGGGGGGAGTGGGGGATGTCAGGGGCGGCGGGTGCTGTAGATAGTAAATGTAAATATGTAAATATTTGTGTCACTGCATCCTGGTAAAATACAAATATAATGCAATGTGTGTGTCTTTGACATTAGCGCTGCCAGCCACCTGTGCCCTGTACTACGAAGCCAGTTCAACATACCCTGGATATGTTTGAGTAACAAACTAACTAACAACAACAAACTAACAAACGAGATCTCACTAAACGGTCCTACGCTGGTTATCAACTCGGTAAATCAAGCCAGGGTTTCTCTCACCAGCTGAGAGCGCGTTCACGTCTAAAACACGAGTGGATCTGACTTTAATTACATTTGACTCGAGTGTTTCGTCAACATAATGTGTTGCTAAAAATAATACTTCTGCATACAGTATGTGACACTGTAAGTGTTGCACGGCCAGATACGGCTGGAGAAGCTGACTCAGATAAGGAAATATATGATATATTATGATATTATATGATCGATGATCTGATTGATGATGTAATATGAATGATAAGTGCGACACGTCGGCGTCTTCTCTGCATATAGGCCTACGGCAGTTTAAACTGTATTTCCTTTATCCTGTAATATGACTTGAGAGATTTAAACTCCGCACACTGAGTTGATCTCTTTTCTATAGACGCCGGAGGCGGGCAGCGTCAGGTAAAAAAAAGTTATTTAGCCTTCCCAAACCTGAGCCTCACGCGCCGCCTATGGGGGATGTGCTAGTGACTTATCCGACCGGCCCACTTCGGTACCGGCCCATCTGGATTCGTCCCGATGGCCAGTCCGCCACTGCACCCAGCCCAGGTAAACTGTAAACGGGGGGAGCCTCGCTGCGGGGAAACGGTGGACCTAGTGTCCCGATCGGAGTGGGAATAATAATAATAATAATCCGTGC